CACATGATATGTTTTTGATGAGTGGACACGATAATGTGTTAGTAATGTGAGTACATAATAAGATGCTTTTTCAGTTTTGAAAGCGCCTGTAACATGATATGGTTAGGCTCCTTGCTTTATCTCGCAAAAGGCGTAAGTTCAAGTTCCATTTGGGGAAGTATTATTACAGTATTGGTGTCGCGACGTGGGGGAATCAGGCAATCGTCAATTTTGGGGCAAATGGGGCTAACAATATCATCTTAAAGCCTGTTTATTTGCCCGGAAAAAGTATCCATCTACATTGAGTAGAAGTCTAGATACTTGCGACTGAAGGAGAAAGGGGTTGCCAAGTTTCAAAGGTAAAATTAATGAAAAAATAGCCTCCAAAGTTTGGTAATTCCATAGCTTGAGAGGCCTTGGAAAATGAAATTTTACATCTTTGAGCTGAAATCAAATTTGAGGAAAACGTTTCGTTTCCAGCGGCCAAAATGGCCAAAATGACATGTTTTACGAAATGAATACCGCACTTATTTTTTATGGAAATTGATTGTTTTCTTGCACGCATCTTAGCAAAAATAAGATCTGAAAATTTGTCTGTTTATTTTTTCCTTAACAAATTAGATTTTTTAAAAACCTTTTGGGTGATGTAGTATTTAAGTTTGCTGGAAAAATATCCGTAAAAAAATCCAACCTCCAAACACTACCATATATCAAAAATTCAGCTAACATGTTTCTAGTATTACATCTGTTCTTCATTCTGTACAAATTTCATGAAGATTGGATGAACAATTTTGGAGTTATTCAAAAAAGTATAGAAAAAAATCGCGTTTCGAGAAAATGGCCATTAAAGAAAAATAAAATATTGTCTTCATGAGGAAATGGTGTCGACAGACATGCCCGGTATGGAAGGAAATAAGGCTTTTGTGGGTTCTTATTAGATGAATTTGTAGGAGAGGCTGAGGAAGCTAAAAATGCCTACAACTCAAATTCCATAATTTTTAGCGGAATCGGGACTTTGGGGGTGCTGTCTCTCCCCCAACCCAGAAAAATAAAAAAGAATTGCCCAACGGCCAGAAAAATGCCGGTTTCTTCGATTTCATTATTTTGCCGAGCGCCTCATTTCATCACGATGTCTCACTATAGCAGTGAATCTCTGCCTCTCTCATCGGATCCTGTATCTCAGCTGCACCTGCTGGGTATTGTTGAAGCGGCCTTCCTCTTTAATGATCAGAATTTTATTGACGTATGTGTTGTTAATGGGTTTGAAACGTCACTGGCCCACAAACACCACCTCGTAAAGTAGATCACCTGCTTGAACCAAACTGCTTCTTGATGACTCTACCATCGTGGCAAGTACATAAGTCAGTTGATTGAGAATTGGCAAAAATATGGCAGCCACGAAATGGTGGCAGACAACATTAATTCCTGAGTTGTGAAGGTAAATAGAAAATCTAATGCGTTATGACCCTACTCATGTTTTCATAAATCCCATTAACTTACTGTGCTTTCTGCCTAACGAAGTATTGCCAAAGCACGAGCGCTTATAGGTTCCCGTGAGATGTACGAAGTTCGTAGAAAAGAAAACAGAAACATGCTTGATTTCCAGCCGAAGGTGGGAGACGTTTTCTTAAATGTCAGGAACATACCAATAACACCATGAAGTTGGACTTACTTTCTTTTACTTTTCTTCCTCTGTCACCGTCAGCGTCGAGGGGAGATATAGTTTTCTATGTAAGGCCAGCTCGGCAGCTCTTTCAATTGTGATATTATGTTTTCTCAGGGTTTCTTTGGCACTCTCGATCCATTTTTAAATTGCGTGGCCTTCCCCATCCTTTATTACCTGAATGTTTGGGGTAGTAGGCTCTCGAGGCTGGCTGGCCAAGTGCCATACGTAACAGGG